TCTCTGTTTAGTATAACTCAAGTAGTGTTGGATTAATGCAATTTTCATAAAAAAAGAAAATAACTTATTAAGAACATAATTATTATGCCCTTAACCTTCTATGTAATTCTCAATTATGTCCATAATCTTTTATCTTATTTTATTTTATTTTTTAGTTTTTTTTGGACAAATTTATTTTTAGTTTTGGTTCTGATCGTATACGAGGAAGAAGTTGGAAAAAGCTTATTTTTAGCCACTCACCTTGTCAGGTTTAAAGATTTTAGCTCTTTATTTTATATTAGGACATTTTGAGCCCCTCATCTTAATAAATTTATATATTTTAATCTATCACCTTATATTATGACACTTTTAACTCCTCACTTATTAAAATTGAAGAAAATAATCGTCACTTTATAACATTTTGTTAGTTCTGTTAGCTAACTGTTAATTCTGTTAGCTGATTGTTAATTGACTGTTAACTGTTAAAAACCTTTTTTCAACTAATAGAGTTAACAGAACTAATTTTATAATATTTCGTTAATTCTGTTAATTGGCTATTTGTTGATTGTTCGTTGATAAAAATCTACTTTTAACTAATAGAGTTAACAGTTAGTATAAAGTGAGGGTTATTTTTTTTTTTTCAATTTTAATAGGTGAAGGACTAAAACCTATAAATCTAGTAAGGTGAGGGGTTAAAAATGTCATAATATAAAATAAGGAGCTAAAACCTTTAAATTTGATAAGATGAGGGGCTAAAGTAGGTTTTTCCCAAGAAGTTACCTTTACCTTGTTAAATATATTTAAATATTTAATATATTTTTAATAGTTAAAAAAATAAGAATAAATACAAATAAAATTATAAATATGAATTGTGTGATCTTTCGGTAGTGGTTATTTTTGCAATTAAATTTTTGAATATGGAAACAATGATTTGTTGATTCGATTGGAAGTAACTCAATTTTTTTTAAATGAGATCTTCAATTTGAATATTATAAATGAATGAATAAGCATTGAGAGATGTTCGATTTCAAATTAATTAATATTCAATGTATATAATTATCGAATACCAAAGAACTAGAGCTAGGTATTCGAGAGCTGACCAATTTTATGCATCTTATCCGGCTGGAACGGAGCTTTTAACGGACACAGCTAAGGTATTTTTCTGTTTTGGCACTTGTCTACTTGGATTCTCAACATGGATTATCTACTTGATTGGTTTTTTATTTAACTTTGGGCTTGGATATGATATTTGTGTTTTTGTTGTATCATAGTTGTATAAAGCAGCACAT